AAATTAAACGAAATAAACATTTGAAATATATGAGTTTGTATGTAATGTATGAATATAATATACAAGTTTCACTTTTTAAATGGAATTACTGAAATAAATCTACTTTTTCATGATATTCTAATTTTATGACCAGCACCTGTAAATGCTAAATCTTGCAAAAACAATATCAATGAAAGTTGGAAATTTATGGGCGGCACAAAATGTTTTCAGATTTCTGTCTCATTCAGAGTTTGCCGTTGGTTTCCTTCCTCAGGTTTTGGCTCAGATTTTTAGGCCCGAAGGCTGCTCGGTAACAGTAACGTTAGAGATGGCCTTATGTTCAACATTACTCATTCTCTCCCTCTTTTTCCTCTCAGGAAAAAGCTTTGTGCGTTTGCATCAATGAAAACAATCTCACAGCCCTTTCCTTTGACTCGTGCTCAACCAGTCAAAACAGTCTGACTCATCTAAATCTGATCTTTGGCTCATTTTATCTCTTCTTTTTTCTTTATGTAAGAGGCGTCTGCAGGAATGAACTGTGGCCCTGAGCGCTCGGTGCACTGCAGCGTGACAGGACACAAACAGATAGACAAAACACGAGCGCACGCCTCCACCTCTTTGATCAAATAAGAGCAGATTTAAGAAAAAAAAGCAAATAAAAACAGAACTAATAAGAGGAATTGTATTTTTTTTTAGCCAAAAAGCACTTTTTTCAGTACTTTATCCTGACTTCAAACTTTGAGATATTCACCAGGAAGTAGAAGAAGCAGCCTTACCAGAGCTTTGGTCTCCTCTTCATCTTTGTAGTAGCAGAGCTGATCCCCTCTCAGCACAAACCAGCGACTGTGCCAAGTCTTCACAAACCCTCCTTGCTTCCTGAGCCAGCCACACCTAAGGACATCCGACCTTTGAACCTCAGTGCTGCTCTGACCTCCACCGCGTTGAGGACTGCTGTGGGACACACACTGGTCGTCCATTACAGCAACTCCAGCCTGCAAGCAAAACACAAAAAAGTAGCTGAAGCGTCTGTCTTTCTCAAAACTTCAAAACCTTTTAGGAAAGACTTTTTTACTACCTTTCTTTGTAATGGAATTTTTTTTAAATAATGTTTTTTTGTGTTTGCGTTCAAACAGTCTTCACACCAAAAACAGATGTGGGACTGTGAGGATAGAAACTGGATCATCAACATAAACTAAAACATGAGTTCATGAGTCAAACTGTTCAGTGTGTTTTGGAATGATTATTTCTGTTTCTCTTCATTATGAAAACAGATACCATAAAAAGAGAACTACCAAACTTTTGTTTTTACTGTATATGTGTGTGTGTATGTGTGTGTGTGTGTGTGTGTGTGTGTGTGTGTGTGTGTGTGTGTGTGTGTGTGTCACCATATTAACACTAAAAAAAAGAAAATAAATAAATAAATGAAACAGAAGTGTGAAAGTATCTGTAATTTTAAAACGGGTGTGAAGCTCAGTTATAAAGGTGGGGCTACAATGTAAAACTTGGCTAATTTCTGTAAAAAAATAATTAAAAATATTATGTAATAAATTATTCTTACAGAAATACAAAGGACCCTTTTCCAAATAATGTTTTATAGCATTTAGAACAAACATAACCTAACAGATTAAAAAAATAATACAATTAAAAAACACAACATAAGCATTAATTTCTTATGCCAGTCTTAACACTTTCACTCATTTCCTGTAGATGCATTTTATTACAATCCAGCAAATCAGGTAAAAAAGAAAACAATCACTAAAAATCAAATTATTCAACTTTAATTATTTGACTTTAAGAAAACGCTTGATTGGCCAACTGTAATGAGAAGAATGCTCTTTAATCCAGTAACAAAAAAAGAGAAATAAAATAAATTAAAACTATTTCACGTTCAAAGTACTACCTTGGGGGCTGAATAAAATGTTGAGGGCCAGATTTAGCCCATGGACCTTATATTTGACACATGCTTCAAAAGAATTACAATGGAGCATTTCAAATTTAAAGCTAAACTAAATTATGCAAGGGAAAAAAAAGCAATGTGAAAGAAGAATGAAACAAGTCATCCAGAACATGTAATTTCTCCTCATTTGTTCCTTTCTATCTGGTTACATATAAATCAACACTTTAAAGAGTCCAGTCCAGTTTTCTCAAACAGCCCTCTGCGTCCAATAAAACATCCCACACATCTTGTTTCCATATCAACACACTCAAAGCCTGCGTGCGTCCCTCAGTGACATGTGCTGAGGCGGCTGCTGGCAGCTTTCAGCTCTGCCATGTTGTCTGTGGCTCTGCTTGTGCTTGGACTGGTGCACGTCCAAGCAGCCCACAGGTCCAGATGTGGACCAGATGCAGCTCAGCTCAGAAGTGAAGCAAGTGCAAAAAAAAAAGGTAATTAAATAAATAAATAAAACATCTTCGATCATATGCTGTTTAGGAAATGGACAAGTTTTTATAATAGTGTTTCAGTTTAATGCTATTTTAGTTAAAAATGCTTGCAATTCACTTTATAGGCCCCACTCAAACTGATTATTAACTCATCATCCTAGTCTGGATTGCACTCCGATTCTTCAAATTGAAGTCGTTCAAAATAATATCTACAACAGGTAAGATATTAATTGTTTAATACTTTTGAAAGCATCTCACTTTAAATGAGCTGAACTGGCCGTTCAAAGCTGGAGAAAGTTCTCTGCACACGGACGTGACCCTTTGCTATAAAGTGAAACTGCAAATAACTCCAGGTAACCTTGGTGGAAATAACTGTCTTTGAGGTGGCTGACAGTAGAAATATTTCCTCAGATTTGCAGTACACTGTGGTTTTGTGTAGTAGAAATATTTTATAATTCAAGAGGTAGGAGAAAAGCTGCAACCACAAAGTGGAAGACAGGAAAAGTTAGTGTTATTTTTTTTATTTCAAGCCCTTTATTCAAGTGATTATTTTTGACTTTGTGAAAAAAAAAAGAATCGTTTTCCCAATGAAGCCATTTGTTGTGGAGACCTGACCTCTCCTGTGAACCAATCCAGGTGCAGCTCTGAGCATTTTTCATGAAGCACCTGCAAAAACACATAAAGCCGAATGTGTTGTGTCGACTCAGCAGGCTGGAAACAGCACACAGAGGATACGTCTCCACCTGTGAGGAGATGTATGTGGACCGTATTTGTGCCTGAGTTTTGTCCCCTGGGCCAAGCTTTCCAAAATAAGCAGGAAAGTAGGTTAAAATAATGATTTTTGTCCCCCTGGCAAGGACAATTTCCTGCACAGTTTGAAACAGCAGAAAACTGTGAAACAGGAGCTCGCCAACCGTAGCAAACACAAAATTTGTTTTAACCCAGTCATTTGAAAAAAATATTAAACTAAAATTTGTTGTGTTAGTAGCTGAGAGTCAACTCCAACACTTCAAACAACAACAGGTCACATGAGGTTTCAGTCTAAAACTTGTCATTTTCAGCTCAAGTCAACTCTGTCTGTCTGTTAGCAAAATTTCTCAAAAACTAGTGAACAAATCTTGATGAAACTCTTACAAAGCAATCATAAGGCGTTAATCTACAACTGATTAATTCTGGGAGTCAGCTTGAGCTAACAGGATCACCACAGTCCATCAACCTTATCAAACACAAAATTGGTCATAACTTGGTCATTTTTTAAAAATAACAAACTAAACTTTGGTGTGTTAGCAGCTGAGAGTCAGCTCATCAGATTACTTCAAACACTAACAGGTCACATGAGGTTTCAGCTTAAAACTTTGGCAATAACTGGTAGCGTTAACTTTGTCTGTCTGTTAGCAAAATATTTCAGCAACTAGTTAACAGATGGTAAAGAAACGTTTATAAAGTAATCAATGTGTGTACATCTACAACTGATTAGGTTTGGGAGGCAATTTATTTCAAAATGGCCGCCACAGTTCATCCAACACAAAAATAGCTCTAACCCTAGAGCAGGTGTTTGAGTTGAAACTCGGTGTGGTAGTAGCTGAGAATCATTCACAGTTTGATTTTGGCTGACACCATTTGCGCCTACAACTTGATAGCCAAAGGAACAATTAGTGAGCTGCCGTCTGCTGAGTCTGAACTTTATGTCAACACTTTAAGCAGTCTCAGCTGTTTTTTTTTTTTTTGAGTTCGAGTTTGAGCCTTTTCCAGGATGTTCTCACAGCACGCCTCTGAACTTTTGTCATTCCTAGAAGAGATGCTCTGACCTTGGCTATAAACAACAACAGTTTGGTGTACAGCAGAGGCAGATGTGTGTGTGTAAACACTGCACACAGAAAAGACGACTTCCAAAACGGCCCTCTGAGGTTTGCAGGCATGCAATTTCTCGGCGGGGTGCAACGCAACCGCAGCTCGACAGCAGCAGTCACAAAAACAAGGACAAATCCAAACTTCTCAAGCGCAAGAGAAAAGTTTGGAGCTGTGAGTGGTACCTATCCTTCAGCGGGGGGGTGTTGCTCTGCATCTATTTAAAGATTAAAAGCAGACCTCTGACTTTCTGTGCGCACTCAGCCAGACAGTCAGACTCAGAGACGTCTAAGTCATTGATTTAAAAATAAGCACCCCGGACACCATTATACCATCAACACTATGTAAATAAGGACTCCATCAATTTTAATCAAGATGAAGAATATCCTTCAGAAGTGATGCCACAGACGATCATAAAGCCAGGCACACAGAATGCAGATTTCAGAGCTTCCACAGTCTGTTTGTTCTCATTATGGGAAAGTCCTACGGCCCAAAGCACACAGAAACCCTGAGCTGCTGTTTGACACGTCTTTGTTTGAATTGTGTGGCTCCAGAAAGAAAAAAAAAGAGGGTTGAGGCTTCTCCTCGCTGTATAGCTCCTCTTTTGGGAAATTAAAGCTGTGCTAGTTGTTAGTTTTTTTTTAGGCTACAAAGTTTGCTTTACGATCTTTTGGCCTTAGTGGGGAATTTGGGACTTTTTTTGTGTGTCCACAGGAAGTGGTGGGTTACAGCAGCAACAAGATGCACTGCTGGGAGAAAAGTGGACTGGTGGTTTTGATGAACCGCAGGCTGGAATTGAAACAAAAGACAACCGCACTTACTCACATCATGGCACTGGTTTGAACAAATAAGCAGTCCACATGCATATGTATATATATA